GAGGACCGCACGGCCCCAATCGGCCTTCTACAGTCTACAACACTCAATGGCGCCGTACAGCCCGCCGTGATCCGTGATGGCGAAGGGTATCCATGCCCAACTCCTTGGCGCGTTGCACCATTGGGGACTGTCATGCGGCTGAGGGGCCCAGTTCCAGCCGGAGGCTGTACTCGTGGGTGTGTGTAAGTGGGTAAACACTGCATCCTCTGGGGAAAACTGCCGTGATTATAGCACCCTCGAAACTCGGAGCCACAAGATGTTGTGGTGCTATTTTACTATAAAATCCGAGATCCCTTATACGTCTGCTGTCTGCTCCGTCAGACCGAGATACTACAATCGGCGGCCGGTTGTAAACGGGCGGTTGGAACACGCATCGCGAGATGCCGGTACCCTGAAAGGCGCAGGCATTCAACGATTACTCCGGGAGCGCCGGGATTCATTTCAGCGCACGTCCTACACCGCTGCAAGCGCGAACCAAGTCTCAATCCATGCGAAGGCGTGACCGGTTGTAGCTACGGAGACCTTTGCGTAACCCAGGACAAAGCTCCTGCCACACCGTGCATTGCGCAGCGTATCTGGGTACGAGCTTTTGGCTACCTGGCCGAGCTGTGCATCTCCTTCTCTGGTCGCGCGCGTTTGTGCGTGTGACTTCATCCCGTCTGCACGCAGTGCCGGCGGTGTGGTCGCGCCGAAGCAAGGTTGTTCAAAGCTCTCCTACGAAGAAGCATCAGTACATCAGCACGCGCTTAGCGTCCAATACGGCAATTGACAGTTGGATTCTGAATCACGCCGAGTCTTGCGTTGGAATCCCATATACCCCCCGTCGCACAGTGCTTGATAGACGATACTGGTTTTATCCTGACTTGGCCTCGCCTGCTCGAGCCTCTGTATACCGCCGCGAAGGTGCTCATGCATGTCAGCAGTAAGACTTAGCGGAGGCGCCATCAGAGCCATGCCAAAGAGTCCCAGCACGCGAAAGCCCAGGTACTCCACTATTGCGCCGCCTACAAGGGGCATGATCACGGCGGCGGCGGCGGTAAACGTATCGTTGGCGCCTATCACGCGACCGCGCTCGGAGGGGTTGGTGGTGTCTGCGTAGAGGGCGGTTGCGGCTATGTTGACGCAGGACCAGCCCAGACCCACAAAGAAGGTGCCGCCGGTAATGACCGGGTATACGGACGTCGCCACGATAAACCCCGACATCCCGGCAGAGGCCAGGACCAACCCCAGGAACATCACCTTTCTACGGCCAATTCTGTCGGCAAGTTTGCCCAGTGGCAGGGAGAACCCGAACATCCCGACGACGTGAATGGCAACAGAGACAGAAATAGCGCTGAGGGTGTAGTGGTGGTGATGCAGGGCGACAGAGGTCATGACCATCATCATGTTCATGTTGCCCTGTGCGGAGAACATGGACGCAAAGGCGGTCAGCCTTGGGCGGTGCTTAAGGAAGTAGAGGATCCCGATTTTGCCTGCGGCCCGTTGAGGCGCATCCGACGGCCTGTAGTCGGGATAGTAGTCGGCAAGGTTGGAGGCGATCTCCTTGGGGTCCGGTCGGACCTGCAGCACCATAACCATGCTCACGACCACCAAAATGGGTATGAAGAACCATGCAAGGGCGATTGGCTCCATGCCGAAGTCATCGGCGATTGACTCCGAGATCCTGATTAGAATCGGACTGGCAAGGGCGCCCACGAGCGATCCTGAAAGCACCCACCCCAATCCCTCCGCTCGACGGTCGGGCGGGTACATGTCCGCTGCCGCAACACGCGTAATTGCTGGACAGAGCCTGTGCCAAGACCCAGCACCAGTATGCCCGTAACGAAAAAGGGGAAGGATTCCAGTACTGCACTGATGCCCGTGATGGAAGCGCCACAGCCTACCAGGAATAGCCCCAGGATCACTCCTGCCCTTCTGCCGAAGGCATCGTTGAACCTGCCGATGGGATAGGCAACTATAAGCCGACTGAACCCCGTGATACTTGAACGATCCCGGCAAGGGTAGCCGAACCGATCATCTGGGTTACCAGCACCGGCCCCAGCGTCGGCACGATCTGGTTGCCAGCGCCGTGAAAGCCTGGGAGGAGGCCAGGAACGCCGTGTTTCGTTTGATCAGCGGCGGTATGGAGGTCTTTGAGCCGGTTCTTGCCAAGTTATCTCCTTAGCCCTGAATCCGAATCCGGGATGGGCGACCACCTAGGATGTGGCCGGTTGAGGCTGGTGTTCCGGGGAGTCGCCTTATCTCCATTGCGCCTGCAGCCTCCCGTTGTCGATCCCATTGACCCTACCTGTGGGTCTCTGGGTCAACCGCCCAGGAGTATCTCATTTTGGGTAAGTGAACGGATATTCCCGGCGGACTGTCATCAAAGCCCCGATGTGTAAGCCGGTTCACATAGCGTCTCCACCCAACTCAGACCCGCTCGCCCTACCTCCCTTTGTAGACCGGCTGGCGCTTCTCCATAAAGGAGCGGACGGCCTCTCGCCGGTCCTCGCTGTTCGCGGATGGTCCGTTGGCGGCGCGCTCCACCGGGTATATCTCCTCCAGGTCTACTTCGCGCTTGTAGAGCGAGTTTCTTGGTAGAGCGGACGACTATCGGAGGATTGGACGCTATGGTCTGAGCAAGCTCCATAGCCTCCTCCAAGAGCCTTTCAGCGGACAACCTTGTTCACGAGGCCCTTTCCAGCGCCCACTGCGCATCGTAGACGTTGCCCGTAAGCGCCATCTCCATAGCGTTACCGAATCCGACCAGTTTCGGGAGGGTGTACGACACGGAGCTGTCGGGGACCAGGGATCGGCGGATGAAGACGCAGGAGAACCTGGCCGCCTCTGAGGCGACGCGGATGTCGCTTGCGAGGACGACGCCAAGCCCGCCACCGGCGGCCACGCCGTTCACCGCGGCTATGACCGGCTGGGGAATACGCCGAAGATGGGGAGTTAGCTCCGACACGCCCGCGGGCATCCCGGAGGAGCGCTGGAGCGGCGTCGGCCCCTGTCCCTGGCCCTCCAGGGTGTTCTGCATCTGACCCACGTCTGCGCCGGAGCAGAAACCTCTGCCCGCCCCGGTGATTATCACGGCGCGAATATCAGGATTGTCCGCCACCTCGTCCAGGGCGTTGTGGAACTCCAGCGAAAGGGTGGTGTTTAGGGCATTCAGCCTCTCCGGACGATTCAGGGTTATGGTGGCAACATGGCCGGTTAGTTCCAGGTCAAGGACTGTGTAATCACCCGTTGCCATAGCAAATCACCTCCTAAATGAGTGGCGCCCAACGCGCGTCGAAGGGCGTTTGGCCCTAAAGTATCGACACCCTCCTCAAGATCCTGGGCAATCCTGCAACGCAAGCTTGCCCGGCAGAGGAGGGTGTGAATAGAGACCTATCTGCCCTTGTAGACCGGCTCCCTCTTCTCCAAGAACGACTTGACGGCTTCCAGCCTATCCTCGCTGCAGTAGGCGGAAGCGTTGGCGGCGCTCTCCAGATGCAGGACGTTCTCAATGTCGCCGTCGTGCTCGTGGACGAGTTGCTTTATGGAGCGGACGCATATCGGAGGATTGGACGCTATGGTCTGTGCGAGCTCCATAGCCGCGTCCAAGAGCCTGTCGGCCGGAACAACCTTGTTTACAAGCCCCTTCTCCAACGCCCACTGCGCGTCGTAGATGCTGCCGGTAAGGGCCATTTCCATGGCAGCCCCTTGCCGAGCAGCCTAAGCATCGTGAAGGAGGACCCTGTATCCGGAACCAGCGAGCGCTTGACGAAGATGCAGGAGAACCTGGCTGCTTCAGAGGCGATACGGATATCAGAGGCCAGAGCCACGCCAAAACCCGCTCCTGCGGAAACGCCGTTTATGGCAGCAATCACCGGTTGCGGGATACGCTGTAAGTGCGGAGCCAGCGCCGTGATACCGGGGCCTTCAGGGGCGGGATCAGCCGTTCCCTGCAGGGATTCCAGTTGCCGGTTGACATCCGCTCCGGAGCAGAATCCCCTGCCCGCTCCTGTTACAATTACGACCCTTATGTCCTCCTCGGATGCGATTTCGTCCAGGGCCGCGTGAAACTCGGCAACCAAGGGGGGGTTGAGGGCGTTCAGTTTCTCCGGCCTATTCAAGGTTATCGTAGCGACGTGGCCTGTGCGCTCAACACTCAATAACTCATAGCTGCGGACTACCATATCAGGCGCCTCCTCCCAAAATTAGACATCCCATGTACTCAACAAAATTATGCCAGAGCGCCTTTCCGGCGCAAAAACAACGATTCGACGGAATATATACCCTTACTTGCCCTCCCATTTAGAAAGGGACTACACCTATATCACCCCGTCTATCCCAGATGCCGGAAAAGTAATTAGACCGGCATCCGCATTCATGCAAGCGATTGGGTCGCCGCGGAGAACTATAGCCCAATAAGCCCTCTGGCGACGCTGGCTGTGAACTCCGGCGCCCGCCGGACTAAGCAGCCTTGCCGATCCTGAACATCTTTGTGGAGCAGACCGGGCAAACACCCTGCGTGGCTGGTCGGCCGTTCTTCATCGTGATTGCCTCGGGATTGCTCATCTCCCTCTTGGACCGACACTTCACACAATACGCTTCCATGGACTCCCTCCCCAAAATATATGATTTGGGATATTCTACACTATATTCAGGCGTAAGTCAGCACCTATTGCGCCTGTTTGGGAGTTGCCCGCAGCCTTGGAGGGAAGTCACGATACTAACTCCCCTTGGCTGTATCAACCCTCGCCGCCGAGTACACTACTGCTCCGCCACCACTATATCGGCCACATCTCCGAGCAATAGGTAAGGTTCGCCCCACTGCTCGGGGCTTTCCAGTCTCCACTCCTCGTCTCCGTCCAGAGGCCTGAAGCGGACGCCCCAGTCTCCGCCGTACAGCAGGTAGGCCGCTCCCTCTCCTGAGTCGGAGACGGGCACATAGTAAGCCGGACAGGGTGTGCCGTCGCCATCGCTTTGCCAGCCTGTTACCCAGTGAAGCTCCTCCGGCCCCCTGGGTCCGGCGATCTTAACCTGGGAGACCCTGCTCGGCCGGCCGAGCGCCTCGTATGTCCGCATTGGCAAACCGTAGCAGTTGTCGTTGTCCTCCACCTCGACGGATACTGAGCGCTGTTCCTCCACAATCACTCCTCCATTTCGAAGCCCAGCTTCTCCAGCTCCACCCTGAGCGTTGCGACCCACTCCTCCGTAGACGTCGACTCAGGCACAACGATTTCGATTTCCCCGTTGGAAAGCAAACGCACGGCGCCTGGGTCCTCTTTTCCAAGAGGGACCGAGATGCTCTCCCTGTCAATGCCCATCGCGTCCGTGACCTCGAATATGAGGCCCATGTCCTCCATGCCAATCATGCCTTCAACCATACTTATCCAGCCTGTTCACAGATATGATGAAATATTAGTGGGACTCTCTTCAGCCGTCAACACACGGCTATGACTAATTCGCGACCATTCTCGCCGGCTCGCATCCCGCCTGTGACAAGCCAGTGACCACATTGGCAAAATATCGGGACTCGCTTGAGGATAGTCTACTTTATTTCAGCTTGACTATAGTTTATCATTGAATACAGAATAGCCGGCCAAGCTTATCTGAAGCACAGCGCCGGACGCGCGCGTTACGGAGGTCGCGTTTGAGGCCCTGGCCCACGAAAAAACCCAAGGAGATTAAGCCGCAGGCTGTCGCTGCGCCGCCGGGGCAGTTCGTCACTGAGAAATTCCCCGTCTTCACCCACGGCGATAACCAAAAGATCTCCCTGAACGAGTGGCGGTTCCGCATCTACGGCCTTGTGGATTGGGAGGTGAAGTTGGACTGGGAGCAGTTCAAGCTCCTGCCGCAGGTCTCTGTAACTGCGGACTTCCACTGCGTTACCCAATGGAGTCGTATGTCAAATCTGTGGGAAGGCGTCCTTTTCAGCGACGTCATCAACATGGCTGTAGTTAAGCCGGATGCCAGATTCGTCGTCTTCCACTGCTACGGAGGCTACACTACCAACCTGCCTCTGGAGGCGCTGCTGGACAACGACGTGCTCTTCGCTCACAGTCACGACGGCAAGCCCTTGTCGCCGGAGCATGGAGGGCCAATGCGCTTGGTTGTGCCCAAGCGATACGGCTGGAAGAGCGCCAAGTGGGTCAATGGCATGGAGCTTTTGAGCAAAGACAAGGCGGGTTTCTGGGAGGAGCTGGGCTACAACAACAACGCCGACCCCTGGAAGGAAGAGCGCTTCTGGGACGGTCTGGGCTAGCCGGGAGACCAATAGACAGGACAACCTTGAAGACCGGATATCTACACTGCATCGGAGGCGCAAGCGGGGACATGCTCCTTGGCGCTCTCATCGATTCAGGGCTGTCCATCGACGAGTTGAAGGGCGAGCTCGCCAGGTTGCCCTTAGCGGGATATTCTGTCAACGCCGCAGTCGCTCAGCGGGGTGTCATCAGAGGGACTCACGTGTCCGTTGACCTGGATGGCAGCCACAATGCCTCCCACTCTATACACGATTTCCTGGACATGGTTGAGGCGAGCGACTTTTCCCGTTCCGTAAAAGACAAGTCGCAAAGGGTTCTTGAGCGCCTGGAAGAGGCGGAAACCAGGGTGCACGGCGAGGTCCACCAGCTTCAGGAGTTGGGAGACATAGACACCATCATCGACGTTGTGGGCGTAGTGGCCGGCCTTGAGTTGCTGGGTATCGAGAAGCTGTATTCCTCTCCACTCCCCGCCGGTTGGGGTGTGGTCTCTACAAGGAAGGGCGCTCTCCCGGTGCCCGCGCCGGCTACAGCTCAGCTTATGGCTATGGCCAAGGCAAAGGTCGCTCCTCCCAAAGGCCCTTATGTCGCCGCGGGAGAGCTTGTCACTCCCACAGGCGCAGCGCTCATCACCACCCTCGCCTCCTTCGAGGCCCCGGCAATCACCCTGGAGCAGGTGGGCTACGGCCTGGGAACAAGGGACAACCCGGAAATTCCCAACGTCCTGGCCCTTTGGATAGGCGAGACCGTCGGCAGCAGCGCTCTCGGCCAGGTCTCTCTTCTGGAGACGAACATCGACGACATGAGTCCTGAGGTCCTGGGATACGTCCAGGAGGAGCTTATGCGCCGCGGCGCTCTGGACGCCTGGTTCAGCCCCATCCAGATGAAGAAGAGCAGGCCCGCCGTCAAGCTCAGCGTGCTCTGCCGCCCGAATATGGAGTCGGCCCTGGTCAAGATCATACTGGCAGAGACCTCCACGCTGGGCATCAGGGTCCAGACCCTGAATCGCTACGAGGCGGAGCGGGAGGTGGTAGCCGTTGAGACCTCCTTCGGTGCGGCGCGGGTCAAGATCAAGAAGGAGGCGGACGTCATCGTTAGCGTTTCGCCGGAGTTCGAGGACTGCAAGGAGATTGCTCAACGGGTGAATATACCCCTGCAAGAGGTGTTCAGAAGGGTTGAGAGGGATGCCAGGGCCAGCCTGGGCATTGAATAGATAGCATTGCCAACTGTAGAGAGCGACCACCCTGCAGCCGGGAGGTAAGAAAGTGGATACAACTCGGTCAGCTGAACTTTTTGCTCAGGCCCAGGACCACATACCGGGCGGAGTGAACAGTCCCGTCCGGTCATTCAAGTCCGTGGGAGGCACGCCGCTCTTCATTCAGAGAGGCAAGGGATCCCGCATATGGGACGCCGACGGCAATGAGCTCGTAGACTACGTTGGCTCCTGGGGCCCTCTGATTCTGGGCCATGCCCACGACTCTGTGGTTGAGGCTGTCGAGAGAGCGCTGGGAAAGGGCCTCACCTTCGGCGCGCCCACGGAGGGAGAGGTGGAGCTTGCCAAGATGATCGTAGATGCTCTCCCGTCCGTCGACATGGTGCGACTGGTGAGCTCAGGAACTGAGGCGACCATGAGCGCCATCCGAGCTGCCAGGGCCTTCACGGGACGCAGCAAGATAGTCAAATTCGCCGGCTGCTACCACGGCCACAACGACGGCCTGCTGGTGGAGGCGGGTTCAGGAGGGGCAACGTACAGCATCCCCAACAGCGCGGGCGTGCCGGAGGGTTACGCCCGTGAGACGCTGGTCGCCGACTACAACGACGTTAACTCAGTGCAGCGCCTCTTCGATTCTCACCCCGCAGAGATTGCGGCGGTCATCCTGGAGCCGGTGGCAGCGAATATGGGGGTTGTGCCACCCGCTCCCGGCTTCCTTGAGGGACTGCGCCTGCTGACCGCCAACAACGACGCGTTGCTCATCTTTGACGAGGTGATAACCGGGTTTCGGGTCGCTTACGGGGGCGCTCAGACCCTGTACGGAATAGTCCCGGACCTCACGTGCCTGGGCAAGATCATCGGGGGAGGCTGCCGGTGGGGGCCTACGGCGGAAGGAGGGATGTCATGGAGTGGTAGCGCCCCTGGGCAATATGTACCAGGCTGGCACACTGTCCGGAAACCCGCTTGCGGTAACGGCGGGGATAGCAACCCTCAAGGCCTGGCAGCGCCGGGGACATACGAAGGGCTGGAGGCCGCGTCGGCCCGGCTGGCCGACGGCCTCGCAGCGGCGGCCCTGAAAGCGGAAGTTCCTCTGACCATCAACCGGGTGGGATCTATAATGACCGCGTTCTTTAACGGCGGGCCTGTGGAGGGCTGGGACTCCGTGGCTGCCAGCGATAGGGAGAGGTACTCCGCGTACTTCCACCTCATGCTGGAGCGTGGGGTGTACCTGGCCCCTTCGCCCTTCGAGGCCGCCTTCGTCTCCACCGCTCACACGCCGGAAGACATAGGCGCGACCCTGGAGGCAGCGGAGTACGCCCTGGCCAGGGTCTAACGCCGGAATACCAAGCACATAGGAGGTGCGTAATGGGAGATAGCCTTCTTGGGTTTGAAGAGCTGGGATGAGGAGACCTATTACTAGCAAGTCTCCTGAGCGACGGCGTAGCCGGGCGAATGTGCAATTCACAGGCCCGGTCACGCCCGTGAGCCTCTTCAAACTCTCTTCAAGATATGCTGCTATAACTGGTATATCAGAAGGAGAGAGGAGCAATTGCCTATGAGAAAACGATGGATATTTGTCTCACTAATGGTTGGAGCGCTGGCGCTTGTACTCACCGGAGGCGCGGTCCTGGCGCAGAGCGACGACTCAGATAGCGATTCCCGTATGGGAAAGTTCGCCGAAAGAGTTGCCTCCATCCTGGGTCTGGAGACATCCCAGGTCCAGGACGCGATGGAGCAGGCCAAGACGGAGCTGAGGCAGGAGGGTCTCCAGGAGAAGCTGGACAGCCTGGTGGAGAGCGGTGAAATCACCCAGGAGCAGGCGGACGAGTTCAAGACGTGGGTGGAGGCCAAACCGGATGGCGCGTTCATGGGCTTCCATCACTGGAAGATAGACGCTGAAGACCTGGACGCCCTGGTGGAAAGCGGGAAGATCACCCAGGAACAGGCTGACTCGTACACCGAGTACGCGGAGTGGCTGGAGTCCCGGCCAGAGGGAATACTCGATAGCTTCAGGAGCCGTGGATTCAAGGGACGTTGGGGGACATCACGGACTTGGTTACGACAAAGGTTTCTGCCAGGACGAAGACGGCTCACCAGAGTTGACTGTAACCACGAATCAGGCCTGAGCAGTATCGCGGCAGGCGCAGACGGACTGGTAGAGGGGCGGGGCGCGAGTCCCTGCCCCTTGCCGACAGCTTAGTGACTATCCCCTTCAAGGTCGGAGAGCATGGGCAGCACTATACTCATAGTTGAAGACGACCCGAACACACTGGAAATAGTGGAGCTTTACCTGCGCCGGGACGGGCACAGGGTGATAAAGAGCCAGGACGGCATAGAAGGGCTGCGCCTGGCCAGAGAGGCCCGGCCGGACCTGGTCGTGCTTGACCTGATGCTGCCCGGTATGGACGGGATGGAGGTGTGCCGCACTCTGAGAGGTGAATCGGAGGTGCCGGTAGTAATGCTCACCGCCCGCGTCGAAGAGGAGGACCGCCTTGCCGGTCTGGACCTTGGCGCGGACGACTACCTCACCAAACCCTTCAGCCCTCGGGAGTTGGCCGCCAGGGTGCGGGCAGTCCTGCGTCGTACCGCCCGGGACGACCTACAGCAGGGCCCGGCAGAGCTTGGCTATGGAGATGTCAAGGTCGATATGAGACTGCGCACGGTGTACGCCGGCGAGAACCAGGTCACTCTCACTCCCACGGAGTTTCGCCTGCTTGCAATGATCATTCGCGAGCCCGGCAGGATCTTCACCCGTGAGCAGATAATCGACAGGGTCTTCGGTTACGACTTCGACGGCTTCGACAGGACGGTTGACGCCCACGTATCCAACCTCCGACGCAAGCTCGGCGCAAACAGCGACGGCTCCGGCTACATCCACACCGTATACGGCGTAGGGTACAGGTTCGGCGATGTCTAGCTGGCTCTTCAGCCTCCAGTTCCGCCTGATTGCGGCCTTTGCGCTGGTGCTGGCTCTCGCCCTGAGCAGCGTCAGCCTGTACGTCGGCTATACGGCAAAGCAGGCGACGGACCAGTTCGAGAGGGACGTTGAAGAGGCAAGGGCCGCTCGCATAGAGCAGATGATTACCCAATACTACGCCGCCAGCAGAGGATGGGGAGGGGATTTGCAGGCCGGCCACTTGAACAGGCCAGCTCCCTCTACGGAGTTCGACATTGTGGTAAAGGACGCAGAGGGGACGTTATAGCCGATTCAGGCGGTGCGTCCTCCTCCCATGATGCAGACTCACTATGCATGAGGAGTTCAACCTGCGCTCCATGAGCAGAGGGCGCGAGGTAGGCACTCGTGGCGATGGCCCCCAGCGTTGCGCCCCTGAGGTCCCGGAGCCGTCCGTATCGATACTCGCGTCTGCGCTGAATCGGTCGCTGCTGTGGACGGGGCTGGCCGCAGGACTCGCAGGTGTCCTCCTGGTGTCGCTGTTGTCGCGCCGCGTCCTTGCCCCCACGAGGTCGCTCAGCTCGGCGGCGAGCCTCCTGGGACAGGGAGACCTGTCCCAGAGGGTGTCGACACAGGGCCGGGACGAGATCGCCGACCTGGGCCGCACCTTCAACTCAATGGCCGAGGACCTGGAGCAGGCCGAGCAGCAGAGGCGAAGCCTGATGGCGGACGTGGCCCACGAGCTGAGGACGCCCCTCTCCAACATTCAGGGCTACCTGGAGGCCGTGCGAGACGGGCTTATGCAGCCCGACAACCGCACGATTGACACCATACACCAGCAGGTGCTCCACCTCACTTTCCTGGTTGAAGACCTGCGTCTGCTGGCGCTGGCGGACGCCGGCGCACTGCGCCTGTACCGCGAGCCCGACTCACTGGAGCAGGCGCTGAGCAAGTCTATAGAGGCCGTCCAGCCCCGCGCCGAGTCCAGGGGCATTTCCATTTCCATGGACATCCCTCCGGACTTCCCTCTGGTGGAGATGGACAGGACCCGCATAGCCCAAGTCGTCGGCAACCTGCTGGAGAACGCCATCAGCCACACCCCTGAGGGCGGCATGGTAAGTGTCACGGCTGAGGTGACGACCAACGGCCGGGCGCGGGTTTCAGTCGCTGACACGGGGACCGGCATTCCCGCAGACGACCTGCCACTGGTGTTCGAGCGATTCTACAGGATCGACCCTTCCAGGACCAGGTCCACCGGAGGCGCCGGCCTGGGACTGACCATCGCCAAACAGCTGGTGGAGGCCCACGGAGGCAGTATCTACGCCGAAAGCGAACCGGGAGAGGGCAGTCGCTTCACGTATTGAGCTGCCCCTGACAGCCGGGGGCCAATAGCAAGGAGGAGAGGGAGTAAGAATGAGCAAGGTAAACTCAGGTGTTGCGCTGCCCCTATGGGTGGTCACCCTTGGCGCGCTGCTTGTATTTCTGAGCATGGCGGCCCTGGTAATCGGTGTTATGCAAGGCCCGGTAGCAGGCGACGCGTCGGAGACGCCCCCCTTGTACGACGAGCAGATGGTTGTGTCCCTTTACGAGAAGGCCAATCCAGCCGTGGTGAGGGTGGAAACGGTCATAAACACCCCCGACCGGTTCGGTTTCCTCTTCCCGCATGGTGGGCAGGGTTCAGGGTTCCTGGTGGACACCGAGGGGCACATTCTCACCAACTACCACGTAGTCCACGACGCCTCGACCGTACAGGTGGTCCTGCCAAACGGCGAGACGCTGGATGCAAAGGTAGCTGGCAGAAGCCCGGCGGACGACGTGGCGCTTCTGAAGGTGGACGCCAAGGACGTTGCCGGGATCGAGCCGCTGCCACTGGCCGACTCCAGCGCAATCGAGACTGGGCAGATGGCCATTGCTGTGGGCAGCCCCTTCGGTCTGGACAACTCCGTCACCGTGGGAGTGAGTCAGCGGCGTGGAGCGGAGCCGGCCGGGTGTCCTAGTCGACCTATCACCGGGATGATCCAGACGGACGCCTCTCTGAACCCCGGCAACTCAGGAGGCCCGTGCTGAACTCCCGGGGAGAGGTCATTGGGATAAACACATCCATAGAGGCTAATACAGCATTCTCTAACATCGACCCCAAGGGGATAGGCTTTGCGATACCCATAAACACGGCTAAGGACCTGATGACCCGATTCCCGGATAACGAGATAGTGAAACGGCCCTGGCTGGGGATCAGTGGCACGGCCCTGTCTCCTACTCTCGCCGAAATACTGGGAATCGACGCCACAGAAGGGGTCTACGTCATGACGGTATCGCCAGGAGCCCGGCTGAAGAGGCGGGGCTGATCGCCGGAGGAATTGACAGCATACAAGGTCACGGGGCCGGTGGCGATATCATCAAGGCCATTGACGGCGTAGAGGTGACCTCCATTCACCAGATGGTGGACTACTTCAACAGCCTTGACCCGGGTGACTCGGTGACTCTTACAGTGGAAAGGGACGGGGAAACTGTGGAGGTTGCCGTAACACTGGGAGAGTGGCCGGACGGGGCTTAACACACGGTCTGCGGGTGTCCAGCCTGTGACCTGAACCAAAGTTAAGGGGAGCCTCATCGCAATTGGCGATGCGGCTCCCCTGTGTTTCTATACCTCTCGGTACTCGCCTTCGACGGTGCCCTCAGGCGGTACGTCCGGGCCCCGTCTTCGCCCGGCGGAGGAGCCGACGGCCCGCCCTGCTGGCTGTAAACCGCCGTGCCCACCTTCTGGAGAGAGGTCTGCAGCTCCTGCAAACGCTGGCTCACCAGAGCCATGTCCTCGGCCTGAAGGGCCTCTCTCAACAGGGCTATCTTGCTCTCCAGCTCCTCCTTCAGGTCTGCAGGCACGTTCTCTCCCTGCTCCCTGAGCAGCTTCTCAGCGTTATACGCCGCGCTGTCCGCCATATTGCGGGTTTCCACCCACTCGCGCTGCCGACGGTCCTCATCGGCGTTCCGCGACGCCTCCTCCACCAAGCGGTCTATCTCATCCTTGGCCAGACCGGAGCTGGCGGTGATGGTGATTCGCTGCTCCCGGCCCGTCGCCTTGTCCTTGGCGGACACGTTGAGGATGCCGTTGGCGTCTATGTCAAAGCTAACGTCGATCTGCGGGATTCCTCTGGGCGCCGGGAGTACGCCGTCCAGGATAAATCTCCCAATGGACTTGTTGTCCGCCGCCATTGGCCTCTCGCCCTGGAGGACGTGCACCTCCACGCTGGTCTGCCCGTCGGCGGCCGTGGTGAAGGTCTCGCTCTTGGCGGTAGGAATGGTGGTGTTACGAGTGATCAGCGCCGTGGTCACACCGCCCAGGGTCTCGATGCCCAGGGTAAGTGGAGTGACGTCCAGCAGCAGGATGTCCCGCACGTCTCCCTGAAGCACTCCCGCCTGAATGGCAGCGCCGCGGCCACAACCTCATCCGGGTTCACGCCCTTGTGAGGCTCCTTGCCGAAGATCTCCTTCACCTTCTCGGCCACCGCCGGCATACGGGTCATGCCGCCCACCATGACAATCTCGTCTATCTGGTCAGCGGTAATGCCTGCATCCGAGATAGCCTGGCGGCAGGGGGTCGTGGTGCGGTCTATCAGGTCGCCCACCAGCTGCTCCAGCTTGGAGCGGCTGAGGTTCATGGATAGATGCTTGGGGCCGGTGGCGTCCGCGGTGATGAAGGGCAGGTTCAGCTCCGTCTGCATAACGGTTGAAAGCTCCATCTTCGCCTTCTCCGCAGCCTCCTTCAGCCTCTGGAGCGCCATCTTGTCCTGCTTCAGATCTATGCCCTGCTCCCGCTTGAACTCGTCACAGATCCAGTCGATTACCCTCTCATCGAAGTCGTCGCCGCCCAGGAAGGTGTCGCCGTTGGTGGCCTTGACCTCAAAGACACCCTCTCCTATCTGGAGTATGGAGACGTCAAAGGTGCCGCCGCCCAAGTCAAACACGGCAACAGTCTCCTCCTGTTTCTTCTCCAGTCCGTAGGCCATTGAAGCGGCGGTGGGCTCGTTGATTATGCGAAGCACCTCCAGACCAGCAATCCGCCCGGCGTCCTTGGTGGCCTGCCTCTGGGTATCGTTGAAATAGGCTGGGACTGTGATGACAGCCTGGGTAATCGACTCTCCCAGCTTGGCCTCTGCGTCCTGCTTCAGCTTTTGCAGGATCATTGCCGAAACCTCCGGCGGCGAGTAGGTCTTGTCGGCCATAACCACGTGGCTGTCGCCGTTGGCGGCCTTGACCACCTTGTACGGAAGCCGCTTGATGGCGCTCTGCACCTCCGCGTCTTCGAACCTGCGCCCCATCAGGCGCTTGATGGAGAACACGGTGTTCTCCGGATTGGTGACGGACTGGCGCTTGGCGATAAGGCCTGTGTAGCGTTCTCCAGTGCTATGATGCACTGCAACCACCGACGGTGTGACGCGAGCGCCTTCGCTGTTCTCCATCACCTGAGACTCGCCAACCTCAATGACAGCCATACACGAGTTTGTGGTTCCAAGGTCTATTCCCAAAACTTTTGGCATACTATTGCTCCTCTCCGGGGATCCCAGAACTAGGTGTTTGGGGACTCCCCTGCCTTGTTATTTCTTCTGGATACCGTCACCTGCGCAGGACGCAGGACCCGCCCGTAAAGCTTGTAGCCCTCCCGCACCACTGACATCACCATACCATCCTCGTGGTCGTCACTCAACTGGTAGGAGACGGACTCGTGCTCCATCGGGTCGAAGCTCATGCCCAGGGCCTGGATCTGCGTCACCCCGAAGGACTCCAGGATACCCCTGAAGTTTCGATAAACCAACTCCACCCCGGCAGTCCAGGGACGAAACTCCTCCACGTCCGGGACGTACTGAAGGGCCCGCTCGTAGTCGTCCAGGACCGGCAGCAGCCTCAGCACAAGGGACTCGTTTGCCCGCTCCTGCAAGGCCGTCCTCTCCTCCTCCATGCGCCGTCTGTAGTTGACGAAGTCGGCTTGGACTCTCTGCATCAGAGCGTGAAACTGGGTCGCCTCTCGCTGGGCCTCCTCCAGTTGTGCCCGGAGGTCCGAATCGCTGACATCTCCAACTGCTTCACCCTCTCTCGTCCGGCTCAACTCATCTTTTTCTTCCTCGCTCATTGGCTCTCTCTCCTAGGTAGTTCTTCCGCACCCCGGGAGTCCGGCTGCGGCATGTTCACCAGCTCACCCAGAATCCCTTCCAACTCCTCCACCACGAATCTGAGCAGCGCATCCGCCCCGGACGTTGCCTGAATCTTCTCCATAAGACCCATCATACGGCTCAGGAAGTTCAGGGCGAACTCCACCCCCGCCAGGTTCATCCCCAGGTTGTCCACCATGTGCTTGATGAGCCTGAGGCGCACTATGTCCTCGATGGAGTACAGGCGCAGCATACCGATGCTGCGGGACGGGATGACAAGGCCAACGCGCTCGTACTTCCTGAGCGTTTGGGGATGCATCTCCAGGATCCTGGCGGCCACGCTGATAACGTAGACTCCGCCGGTCACTTCCCTGCCATCACCCTGGCTGGATGGCCCTGATTGCTCCCGTTCCGTACCACCACGGGCGGGCGCATTGCCGGCCCGTGGCTCCATCGCCCCGCCCGCCTCGCCACCAGGACGCTGTGGTATATCGGGGCTTACGTGCGCTGTACGGCGTTGGCTGGGTCTCTGCATACTTTTAACGATTGGCATTCCTTATCCGGGATAGGTTTATTCTAAGACTTGATACAGAGCGTGTCAAGTAGTATAATATCCTTAGACTCAATAAAGGAGAGCTTGCTCAGGTCGGTAATCGACAACGCCGGAGCGGGTTGGAAATAAGGCGAGCGTCAATATACGTTCTTAACACTCTCTTCAAGATATGCTGCTATAAGGAGTGTATCAAAGAGAGACTTGAGAAGCGGATCGAAAATACATCGAAGGGAGGCGAAATATAATGTTAATGCTGAAAGCGTGCCCTCGGTGTCGCGGAGATCTCTATTTTGACAGAGACTTCTACGGCCAGTACAAGCAGTGCATTCAGTGCGGGCATATGGAGGACATAGCCCCTGCCCCGCGCTTGCACCGCCAGGACACCACCAGGCGCAGCAGAGACAAAGTCATCAAGAAGGCCGCCTGAGTCCACGGCCTATGGAATATACTAGGACTTGACCTTCAGAGCGGCGTTGAGGCTGCCTGTACGGAATCCGGCAAGGTCCAGTGTAACGTACAGGTAGCCCAGCGCTCGCATATCAGATACCAGCTTCTCGCGTAGCCCCGGCTCCAGTAGCAGCGCCATATCCTCCGGCTCCGCCTCGATACGTGCAATGGAGTCGTGGTGGCGCACCCTGAACTGACGCAACCCCAGCTCCTTCAGACACGCCTCGGCCTGCGCTATTCGCTGCAGGGCCTCCACCGACACCGGCATACCGTACGGTATGCGGGACGACAGGCACGGCTGGGCTGGCTTGTCCCACGTGGACAGGCCGCGCCGCTTCGAGAGAACCCTGATATCCTCCTTGGTAAGCCCCGCCTCCACCATCGGGTTGCGTATGCCGTACTCCTGGCCCGCCTTCAGACCCGGGCGAAAGTCCTTCAGGTCGTCCAGGTTGGTGCCGCTGGCTATCCAGTCGTAGCCCTCCTCGGCGGCCATGGGTTGCAGCCAGGTATAAAGCTCCAGCTTGCAGAAGTAGCATCTGCGGGCGTCGTTGGCGATGTAGCGCGGGTCCTGCACCTCATTCGTCTCAATCACCCTGTGACGCAGGCCCAGCTGTATCGCTGTAGCCGCGGCTTCCTCCAGGTCGTCAGGGGCCATGCTGGGCGAAGACGCCGTCACAGCCAGGCTCCGATCTCCAAGGACGTCGTGGGCAGTAGCGGCCAGGAATGTGCTGTCGACCCCTCCGGAGTAGGCCACTATAACCGACCCCATTTCCTGAAGGATGCCCTCAAGCATATCCAGCTTCTCTTGCAACGATTCGCTAGCGACGACCATATCCCCCTCCGGGTGTTTCTTCAGGTTGCATTTCAGACCCAAGACCACTTCCCTCCCGGCCCGCGTCCGAGGACAGAGCCAGACCCAAGCCCTCTACAAGTGTCCCGGCCGCAGCGGTCTTGATTCCCCGCGGCGTCTCCACGGACTGCATGGCGGACTCTGGCACCAGACATTTCTCGAAACCCATGTGGCTCAGCTCACCCAGGCGCCTGGGAACATTGGAAACGCTCCTCAGCTCCCCACCGAGTCCCACCTCTCCCAAAACTGCCATCCCCTCGGCCAGAGGAACGTTACGCGCGCTGGAGACGAGGGCCAGAGCCATTCCCAGGTCCGCCGCCGGCTCCATAGCTCTGAAGCCGCCGGCCACGTTTACGATGATATCCTGGGAGGACAGGTAGACCCCTGCCCTCTTTACCAGCACGGCAATGGTCATCAGGAGGCGACTCATATCGACGCCGTTTGCCACTCTCCTGGGCGCAGGCAAGGAGGAAGGTGTGGTGAGAGCTTGTATCTCAACCAGCAGTGGCCTCGTACCCTCCATCACCGGGCACTATGACCGAACCCACTGCGTTCTTGCTCCGGCTTGCCAGGGCTATCTCCGATGGGTTGGGCACCTCGGTCAGCCCGCCGTCCCGCATCTCGAATACGCCTATCTCGTTTGTTGAGCCGAAGCGGTTTTTGTCTCCGCGAAGCAGCCTGTAAGACCCTAAGTTGCCACCCTCCAGGTACAGCACCACGTCCACCATGTGCTCAAGCGCAAGTGGACCGGCCAGGCTCCCCTCTTTGGTGACGTGGCCGGTGACAAATGTGGGAACTCCTCTGGCTTTGGCCCACCTCAGCAAGGCAAGCCCGCACGCTCTGACCTGCCCGATAGCCCCGGGGCCTCCCGATTGGTCGGGGAACTCCATGGACTGGATGGAGTCTATAACCGCCATAGTGGGAGCAAAGCTGTCCAGGTGATGAAGCACCGAGTTCATATCCGTCTCTGCCAGCACGTGAAGCCCCTGCCCTCCAATGCCCAGCCTCTCGGCTCTGAGCTTGATCTGCTGAAGGGACTCCTCGCCCGACACGTAGAGGACGGGGCCGGATTCTTTGGCAAGGGCGCCGCTTATCTGCAACAGGAGCGTGGACTTGCCGACTCCAGGGTCGCCGCCCACCAGCACCAGTGAACCCCTCACCAACCCCCCTCCAAGCACGCGATTGAACTCATCCAGGGACAATGGTATCCGAGGCCACTGCTCCAGACTCACGCCGGAGAGCTCCTGGGGAGCTTCCGAGCGAGACGGCAGCCATGAGTTGCTCCCTTTGACAGGATTCCGCGGGACCTCAGTCAGCGTATTCCACTCACCGCACGACGGGCAGCGGCCCTCCCATCTCAGGGCCTCCGCTCCGCACTCCCGGCACGAGTAGACTGTCCGTAGTTGCTCTCTGCTCATACTGCTCTCACCCGAATGTCGTGCAATTCTAACAGAGATGCATGTGGAAGATAAACACCAGAGCCCGTCGCGCTGCTTCAGGCGCGCTCTAGGGCAACTCAGTAGCCAGAGCGCCTAAGGACAGCAAACACCAGCCGCGTGCCAGCGGAACTATGCCGAACGGGAAGGCTCTGGGACGCTCGGAGCCTGCCTAGCCTGCGGGAAGTGCCCACCTGGTCTTGGTGTGGATCACGAACTGATCCTCCTCCACGTCAATAACCACCGTGTCTCCCGCCTGCATATGGCTTGTCAGCAACTCCTCGGACAGCCGGTCCTCTATCTCGTCCTGGATGACCCTGCGGAGAGGCCTGGCGCCGAAGTTGGGGTCGTAACCCTTCTCCGCCAAGAGGGTCTTGGCCACCGGAGTCACTTCCATCTCAACGTTCTTGTCCTTGAGCAGCTGGTCGTGGACGTCCTTGAGCATCAAATCCACTATCTCAAGGATATGATCCTTGTTCAGGGCGTGGAACACCACCGTGCCGTCGATGCGGTTGAGGAACTCCGGCCTGAAGGAGCGCTTCACCTCGTCCATCACCTTATCCTTCATCCGCCCGTACTGCTGCTCTGACGTCTTGGCCTCGTCGGCATTCATCGCGAATCCCATTGCTGTGTCTCGCTTTATCAGGTCCGAGCCGAGGTTACTGGTCATTACGATGATGGAGTTGCGGAAGTCCACCCTGCGACCCTTGGCGTCTGTCAGATGGCCGTCGTCAAATATCTGGAGCAGAATGTTAAAGACATCCGGATGGGCCTTCTCGATTTCGTCCAGGAGTATGGCGCAGTAGGAGCGACGGCGCACCGCCTCAGTGAGCTGGCCGCCCTCGTCGTAGCCTATGTAGCCTGGGGGCGCTCCCACCAGCCGGGCCACGCTGTGTCTCTCCATGAACTCCGACATGTCAAGGCGTATCATCGCCTCTTCGCTGCCGAACATGAACTCAGCCAAGGTTCTCACCAGCGCTGTCTTTCCCACGCCTGTTGGGCCCAGGAAAATGAAGCTGCCGATTGGCCTACGCGGGTCCTTAACTCCGGCCCTCGCGCGGCGCACGGCCTTGGAGACAACCTTGATGGCCTCGTCCTGGCCGATGATCCTGTCGTGCAGTGCGCTCTCCATCTGCAGGAGGCGCTCGGCGTCCTCCATAGCCAGGCGAGTAACCGGGATACCCGTCCACATGCTCACCACTTCCTCAACGTCGTCCTCGGTCACCACGACATCACTTCCGTCCTTCTCGGACTCCCACTCCTTCTCCATGCTCTCCAGCTTTTCGGCCAGCTTGAGCTCGCGGTCCCGCATCTCGGCGGCGTACTCGTACTCCTGGCTGGCAAGGGCTTCGTCCTTCTCGCGCCGGACGCCCTCAAGGGCCTTCATTGACTCCTTCACGGAGAGCGGCGTGGAACTGCTGCGAATCCGAACCCGGGAGGAGGCCTCATCAATGAGGTCTATGGCCTTGTCCGGCAGGAAGCGGTCGGCGATATAGCGTGACGCCAAGCTCGCCGCCGATTGCAGAGCCTCGTCCGAGATGGTGAGGCGATGATGCTCCTCATAGCGACTCTTCACCCCGCGAAGAATCTCTATGGTGTCTTCGGTGGAAGGCTCGTCCACATAGACGGGCTGGAGCCTGCGCTCCAAGGCTTTGTCCTTCTCCACGTGTTTGCGGTAGTCGTCAAGGGTGGTCGCGCCGATGGTCTGGATCTCGCCCCGGGACAGGGCGGGCTTCAGAATGTCGGCGGCATCGACCGCTCCCTCCGCCGCTCCGGCGCCTACCATAGTGTGTATCTCATCGATAAAGAGCACACAGAGCCCGGACCCGCGTATCTCCTCCAGTATCTTCTTAAGCCGCTCCTCGAACTCACCCCGGTACTTGGTCCCCGCCACCAGGGAACCCATGTCTAGGGTTACCAGGCGTTTGCCCTGGAGGTTCTCGGGCACGTCGCCGCTGATGATACGCTGGGCAAGGGCCTCCACTATAGCGGTCTTGCCTACGCCCGGCTCGCCAATAAGCACGGGGTTGTTCTTGGTGCGCCGGTTGAGTATCTGGACAACCCTCTGGATCTCCTTCTCCCTGCCGACCACCGGGTCCAGCTTGCCCGCGCGAGCGGCGCTGGTAATGTCTACGCCCATCTGGTCAAGAGTAGGTGTGCGTGTAGTCGCCTTGGAGGACCCGCCGCGCTCCTGGCCGACGCTCTGACTGAGTATGCGGCTGGTCTCCGCCCGGACCCTGTCCAGCGTTACCCCCAAGCTCTCCAGCACACCCGCCGCAACACCTTCGCCCTCCCGCATAAGGCCGATGAGGACGTGCTCCGTGCCTATGTAGTGATGGTTCAGCCGGCGAGCTTCGTCGACCGCCAATTCAATGACCTTCTTGGCCCTGGGAGTGAGTCCTATCTCGCCCGGGGTGTGCCTCTCGCCGCGCCCGATAATAAACTCCACCGCAGACCGAATCTTGCTCAGCTCTACCCCCAGATTGGACAGGACGCGGGCCGCCACACCCTCCGTCTCCCGGACAAGGCCGAGAAGGATGTGCTCCGTGCCTATGTAGTTGTGGTTAAACCGCTGGGCCTCTTCCTGAGCCAGCGATAGCACCCTTCGTGCTCTCTCTGAGAATTTCTCAAATCTGCTGGTCATGGCTATCCCCCTACTTTGAACGATCTTCTAGGCGGATCTATTCCTCGTCTGCTTAAATCTCCTCCGCCCGCTTAAGGCTGAGCGCCAGTCTCCTCCGCTCAGGCTCTATCTTCAGTATCCTCAAGGTGAAGACCTCCCCTTCCCTGACCACCTCCTTGGGGTGTTGGATGAGGTTATGGCTCAGTTCCGAGATATGGATTAGTCCTTCTAAAGACCCCTCTATGCGCGCAAATGCGCCAAAGTTGGTCAGCTTGGTTATGGTGCCCTCGACCAACTGGTCGACCTGGTATCGCTCCAGAACGGTGTCCCAAGGGGCCGGGCCCAAGCGCCTGAGGCTCAGAGCTATCCTCTTGGTGTCCTGGTCTACCTTCATCACGTAGACCTCAAGCTCGTCACCCACCTTAACCACGTCCTCCGTAGCCCTCACCGGCTCCCAGGAAAGCTCGGAGATGTGGACCAAGCCGTCCGCTCCTCCAAGGTCGACAAAAGCGCCGAAGTCGCAAACGCCCGACACCTTGCCCTTTCTCACCTCTCCCTCATTCAACTCCTGGAGAATACGCTCCTTCTGCGACTCCCGCCTCTCCTGGAGCAACGCCTTCTCCGAGAATATCGCCCTCTTCCTGGAGCGGTCAACCTCCAGTATCTTGACATCCACGTGCTTCCCCTATTCGAGCGGCCAACTCCTCTTCCCGGACTCCTTCCGGGCCGCCCTGGAACCCACCGACGTGGGATATGGGGATGAAGCCCTTCAGCCGTTCACCTCAACCAGGACTCCTCCGCGGTTGTGGCCGGTTATCGTGGCCTCCACACACTCTCCATCGTTGAACTTCCGCTCGACCTCCTGCCAGCCCACTTCCTCCCTGGCCTTGTCCACGGAGAGTATGGCCGAGCCATTTTCGCTCTCGGCCTCCAGAACTCTGGTCGTGATCTCCTCACCTACCTTGAGGGAGATCATCTCTTCTTCAGTTATAGAGCGCATCTCCCGGGAGGGAACCACGCCTTCGGACTTGTTGCCTATACTGACCAGGATACCCTCCTGGTCACCCTCATTATTATTCCCTGGACTATCTCACCTCGCCGGACGACCCTGACCAGGTCAGCTTCCTTGAGGAGGGATTCCATGTTTTCGAGAGGGGCGCTTATATCGGTAGACACTGCAACTGCTCTTTCTGTGCCGCTTCCACTGTCTTTCCCTAAGCTCAATTATATGTCTCCACTGAACGCCATGTAAAGGTGGTGTCCTCTACAAATGTTTGGGAGGATTCGCTGGGGAAAGCAAAGTTGTGAATATTTTAACACATAACCCGCTACTGGAGTAGTACCCCTTGAGAATCTGTAAGGACTCCCAAGGGTCCCATGTAAAGGTTAAGCCCGCTTTGAGGTGCGGGCTTCATGCCCCTGGCAGTGACCTATTTTCCCACCCCGTTGCCAGGGCAGTATCGTCGGCGCTGAGGTGTTTCACTTCCGTGTTCGAGATGGGTACGGGTGGTTCCACCACGCTAAAACCACCAGAGACAAAGTAACTATAGCTCAATACGTCCGGGATTGCAACCTGATTTGGCGACATTCTGGGACCTCATTTGAAGATGTTCTGCCTCCGGGCAACCCTGCGAGAGCCTGAGTCCAGAGCTAGGCCAGGTCACGACGCCCGAATAGGACTACCCCAATCGCCAGGAACGCCGTTGTCAGCCCGGTCAGAACTCCGGCGTGGACAAGGTTCAGACCTGACGTAAGGGGGTCCGCGCCGATGTAGAGATAGAAGGGCGAGAGCTTCTGAGCCGGCTCCAGGCTCTCCGCTATGGGCGCAAGGGCGTTGACGAAGTACGCCGCAATCGCAAGGGCGCTCGTCACTCCAAGACAAAGGCCGCGGCTGCCCTTGGCGCACCCCAGCGCCAGGGCCATCGCCCCGAAGGCCAGCCCCAACAGCGTACAGCTCAGCGTGGCCTCACCCAGCCTCACAAAGTCGATCTCCATGTCGACCGCCAAGGCGGCTGCGGCCATGCTCAACCACGACACAATCCCCAGGGCCAACGTGGCGGCAACCATCGCAACGAACTTCTCCAGGACCACCTGCGAGCGTCGGACGGGAAGTGAGAGCAGCAGGTCCAGAGTGCCTCTCTCCTCCTCACCGGCTATGGCGCCGCTCCCGCGGCCGATGGTGAAGATGAGGAATATCACAGGCAGCGCCAGAATGAAGAGCTGGCTGTTCAGAAAGCCCTCGGGCGAGGTCAGGCTTACTATGTCGCCCAGGAACAGCCTGGAAAGAGCCTCCGGCATAGATTCCATAAGCTGGTCAAATTCCGGCGCGTCCGCAAGGCTTGGGTACAGGAGAATGGTGAAGATGTTGACCGCGCTGAGACCAGCGCTCCACCACAGAAACGTTCTTCGCTGGTCACGGAGGGGTCTTGAGGAGAACGCTGTTAAGCAACGTCATCGCTCTCTCTGTAGTAGTCCAGGAAAATGTCCTCCAGGTCAGGCTCATGGCTTGATATGTTGAGCACCTCAAACTGGAAGCCGCCTTGATCAGGGCGTCGACGGAACCCACGACGGAGCATTTCAGGTCGTTGCCCTCCACGGTAACCTCCCGGACGCCAGGGATGTCCCGGAAGGCCTCAATGGGCGCCGGTTCCGTGAAGTGTATCTCCAGCTGGCGCAGAGCCTTGGCCTTGAGAGCCGCCACCTCCTCATCAAGTACGAGGAGTCCTTCGCGTATGATACAAACTCGGTCCGCTATGCGCTCCACCTCCGCCAGTACGTGGGACGACAGGAAGACCGTCTGCCCTTGTGACTCGGCCTCTCGGACCATCCGATAGAACTCCTGCTGCACAAGGGGGTCCAGCCCGCCGGTCGGCTCGTCCAGTATCAGGAGCTCGGGCTGAGCCATAAATGCCTGCACCAGCCCCACCTTTTGCTTGTTGCCCTTGGACAGAGTGCGAATCTTGCGCGTCAGGTCAAGCCCCAGTCTCTCCGCCAGGCCCTCCGCATAGCTCCAGTCCACGCCGCCGCGGAGGTTTGCGAAGTAGGTCAGCAGCTCCCAGCCGGTCAAGCCATCGTAGGCGCTCAGTTCACCCGGCAGATAACCCACGTTTCGGCGGATCTCAAGGCTGTCCAGCCTGGCGTTCTTTCCGAATATCTCCGCACGGCCCTTGGTGGGACGGATAAAGTCCAGGAGGAGACGAATGGTTGTGGACTTCCCCGCCCCGTTAGGCCCCAGGTAGCCGACCACTTCACCGGGCCGGACCTCCAGGTTGAGTTCCACCAAGCCGCGATGCCTGCCGTAGAACTTGGTAAGGTCTTCCGTGAGAATAACGCTGTCAGTCATTGCGCTTCGGCCTCATTATCTCTTCTAGGTTGGAAAAAAAGCAAGCATACCGCCTGCCACGTCCTGGGGCGCGCTCGCGTGATGGAAAACGGCGGCCGCAGGGACGCTAGACAGCCTGAGGGCCGGGGTTGCAGCTTGCTCCTGAGCCAGTCGCCCAAAAGCGGGAGCAGGTCGTCCTTACGCTCCCACAGGCCGTGGGATGCGCCCTCAGTATGACAAGCTCCTTGGGTTTTTTCGCCCACGAGTAGATCTGCTCGGAGCAGTGAACGCCCAACCTCTGGTCAGCAGTCCCGTGGACCAGCAGGATGGGTCTGGGGTGAATGTGCGGGACGCTCTGAGCGCCGTAGGTCTGGCTGGCAAGAGCGACTACGGCAGCTATGGATTGCTGAGTGGAGCTACGGAGATGACGACCGCTCCGCTGAAGGAGTGGCCCACCAGAGCGATGCGCTGTACGCCCTGGCTCTCCAGAAACGATACGCCGGCCTGCGTATCGCGGATGCACGACCCAAACTCGGTGTTCTGCCTGTAGCGCAGCATCAGGGATGAGACCCCACCCTGGAGCAGGTCTTCGGCGACCGCGGCGGCGATGGGGCTGCTGCGCTGTGACTGGCCTTCCCCCCTCCACGACCCCGCCCACAGGACCGCCGTCTCCGGTGTCGCCGTTCTATGGAACAGGCAGTCGATGTCACCCAAGGTAGTCACGAGAGTGACGCGCTCCCCGGACTCGCCCTCCGGTAGAGCCTCAATCCTGTAATCCGTGACGCTTATACCTGTCTCTACCAAGCGCCCTCCGATTCACCGCGCATTAGCTACTGCGGAGCTGCTAGATGTCCACCGTCATTGCAGGGTCTTCATCCACCACTTCCGCCTGAAACCGAAGTCGTATACTCTCCCACGCCTCCCACTGGCCTTCTCTAAGATAAATGTAATATCCGTCGGGCTCGCGGGAGTAATCAATGCGCTCCTCTTCCATGGCATCCATGAAGTGCATACGCTGCTGATGTGGAGGAGGCGCTAACACAACAAAGGACATCGGAGTCCCCCATTTGAATTGGCGGTATAGTGCCGGCTGCCCTTATGGCGGGCAGTTTGGAGTTACAAAAAAACACGGCGGGCCAGCAAAGCGGCCCGCCGTGTCCTGAAGGATCTAGCCCAGTTCCATCAGCTCCGCCATGCGGCGGCGATGGTAGGTGGCGTCGCCCAGGTAGTGCTGGAAGGTGCGGGCCCGGGCGGTGTAGTGAGTCAGACCCAGGTCAAGGTCTACACCCACGCCGGCATGGACGTTGTGAGAGGCGTCGCAGGCCTTGTTGAAGCCATCGCTGGCTACGGCCTTGGCCATGGAGATGCCCACGGTCGCGTCGGCTCTGCCACTGTCCAGTCTCCAGAGCGCCTCGTAGGCAGTCCACTTGGACGCCTCGGCCTCTGTCAAAGAAACGATGATATGGTCCTGTACTCGCTGGAAAGTTCCAATGGGCACACCGAAGGCAATGCGCTCGGTGCTGTAGTCCCGGCACATCTCGTATGCCCTCTGAGCGCCGCCCGCCATATAGGCGGAGAGGACTGAGGTGGCCCGGTCGATGGACTTCTCGACAGCTCCCCAAGCGCCGCCGACATCTCCCACTACTCCGGAAGCGGGCACCTGTACGTTGTCGAAGGCAATCTCGCAGACCTTGTCGCCCAGCCAGCCGCTGTGCTGCCGGACGGTCACGCCACTGGCGTTCTTGTCCACCAGGAAGACGGAAATGCCATCGGCGGGGTTGGCGCCGCTGGATGTGCGGGCCACTACCAGAAGCTGGTCCGCAACGTGGGCCCAGGGCACGAACACCTTTGTGCCGTTGAGGGTGTAGCCGCCGCTGCCACTGGAGGCAGTCATCTTAATGGCGCCGGGGCCCCAGGCGTACTCGGGCTCGGTGAATGCAAACGCGCAGATCTGCTGGCCCCTTGCGATGGCAGGGAGAAGGCTGCTCTTCTGGTCGTCGTTCCCGGCCTCTATGATGACGTTCGCGCTGAGCACTGACGAGTCCAGGAATGGGCTTGAGCAGGCGTGATCCC